CAGTCTGCCTCCACAGGGTACTGTATGCTGTGTATTTACAGTCTGCCTCCACAGGGTACCGTATGCTGTGTATTTACAGTCTGCCTCCACAGGGTACTGTATGCTGTGTATTTACAGTCTGCCTCCACAGGGTACCGTATGCTGTGTATTTACAGTCTGCCTCCACAGGGTACTGTATGCTGTGTATTTACAGTCTGCCTCCACAGGGTACTGTATGCTGTGTATTTACAGTCTGCCTCCACAGGGTACCGTATGCTGTGTATTTACAGTCTGCCTCCACAGGGTACTGTATGCTGTGTATTTACAGTCTGACTCCACAGGGTACTGTATGCTGTGTATTTACAGTCTGCCTCCACAGGGTACTGTATGCTGTGTATTTACAGTCTGCCTCCACAGGGTACTGTATGCTGTGTATTTACAGTCTGCCTCCACAGGGTACCGTATGCTGTGTATTTACAGTCTGCCTCCACAGGGTACCGTATGCTGTGTATTTACAGTCTGCCTCCACAGGGTACCGTATGCTGTGTATTTACAGTCTGCCTCCACAGGGTACCGTATGCTGTGTATTTACAGTCTGCCTCCACAGGGTACTGTATGCTGTGTATTTACAGTCTGCCTCCACAGGGTACTGTATGCTGTGTATTTACAGTCTGCCTCCACAGGGTACTGTATGCTGTGTATTTACAGTCTGCCTCCACAGGGTACTGTATGCTGTGTATTTACAGTCTGCCTCCACAGGGTACCGTATGCTGTGTATTTACAGTCTGCCTCCACAGGGTACCGTATGCTGTGTATTTACAGTCTGCCTCCACAGGGTACTGTATGCTGTGTATTTACAGTCCCGACCCGAGCTTTAAAGTAGGGCTGGGCGATATGGCAAAAAAAAAAATCTCCGATTTTTTCACACCAAATCCAATTTGATTTTAATCGATTTATTTTTTTCTATTTAAAAACAAACTACAACTGACAAAGAAATAAATTTTCCTTTATGCAGTTTAATCTAAATCCCCATGGAGCGTAAGCGTAACAGGAATTAAGCCTTAAAACATGCTTGTAAACGAGATCTGCCAATGTAAACAGTTTTATAATAACTTCACTTACAATGACACTATGCACCTTCAAAATAACTTAAATCACACAAACAAGGCCCATCGCAAATATATCAATCCTATTAAACACATGCATTATTTACATGAAATATTACATTTTTAAAACTGATTACTCAAAATAGAAATGTTGTAACAGTCTTTTTCAAAAGCCTCCTCTTTCAACTGTGCCTGAGTAACTGTGCTGTAGTACAACGCTCGGTCCAGCTGGTGGCGCTAATACTAACTTCAGTGACTCCCGCATTGTGCGAGCTTCCTGTTTACATTCTGATGCTGTAGCTAACAGCTACTGTAGCAGCTACTGTAGCTAACAGCTACTGTTGCAGCTACTGTAGCTAACAGCTACTGTAGCTAACAGCTACTGTAGCAGCTACTGTAGCTAACAGCTACTGTAGCAGCTACTGTAGCTAACAGCTACTGTAGCTAACAGCTACTGTAGCAGCTACTGTAGCTAACAGCTACTGTAGCAGCTACTGTAGCTAACAGACAGCGGGGAACATGTTGTTTGTATCAGAGCAATGAGAGCAATGTGTGAGACGTGTCTTTCCCCAAAGTGCAGCGGCTCAGTGGGACACGAGTGTGTGCGCGCCACGGACACGGGAGTGCGCTTTGGAATAACGAGCGTGAAAGATGTGGCGTACGAACATGGCGTACGAACATGGCGTACGAACATGGCGTACGAACATAGCGACCGGAGCCTGCGTGTGTGTGTGTGTGTGTTTTGGCGATTAAATAAAGTCTGATTCTTGAACGTTTGAAGTGTTATTGCAACAGCACCAACTGTGAGAGCGAGCCTCAGGCCAGAGGGAGACTGTTAGCATTAGGTTAGCTTCAAAATGACTGCTCAACACCATAGACCCGCGGTTAGCGCGTTAGCGCTGTAGTTCTGCGCTGGAGAAAATAAAAATCGAATTTAAAAAAAAAGAAATTGCCCTAAACGTAAAACTCGAATTAATGATTAAAATCGATTAATCGCCCAGCCCTACTTTAAAGTCATGTTTCTAATCTGTGTGTTTCAGGAACTTGGGTCCAGCGCTGAGTCGAACGGTGTCGCAGCTCTACTGCACCAGGGGCCCTTTAACTTAGAGCTGCACCAGGGGCCCTTTAACTTAGAGCGTGGTCTGAGGAGACTCCTGGAGCTAGCGCCACCTACAGGTCATGTCTGCTCCGCGTGTGAGCAGGCAGCTGTGGCTACAGTAGTTTATCACCAGTGTTGAAAGAACATTGAATCTAAGAATCCACAAAATCTGTATAAAGTGAAGCATTATTATTGTGGGAAGTAAATACCTGAGTTTCTAAATAAACGTTGAAAAGACCTGTGTTTGTTACTGTTTGATTCTCTGATCTGCTCTTGGTGAATCCACATCTGTGTAAAGTCCATTCAGTTGAATTGTTTGGATAATTCCAGTTGATTGAAAACAGACCTGTAGTGTCTCAGGTGCACCACCAGGTGGCAGCATCACCTGATACAGAAATGTCACAGTAAAAAGCCAGTCTGTGTTTCCAGCTTTATTCTACAGTGGTCCCTAAAATACAACAAAAACACAAAAGAAACAACGCTCAAAGTCAATGCAAAGTTGGCAACTCAGAGAAGTGTCATTTGGTTTCCAGCCACACGGGGGCAGTCTGTGCTCACTGAAGAAGAAGGCATGTTTCAACAGTCGCAGGTCAACCACTTAATGTCATCGGCCCCTAAAGTCCAGGGAGGAGTGAATATGAACGGTCTCTCTCTCTGGTCTCTCTCTCTCTGGTCTCTCTCTCTGTGGTCTCTCTCTCTCTCTCTGGTCTCTCTCTCTCTCTCTGGTCTCTCTCTCCCTCTCTGGTCTCTCTCTCTCTCTCTGGTCTCTCTCTCTCTCTGGTCTCTCTCTCTCTGGTCTCTCTCTGGTCTCTCTCTCTGGTCTCTCTCTCTCTGGTCTCTCCTCTCTCTGGTCTCTCTCTCTGGTCTCTCTCTCTCTCTCTGGTCTCTCTCTCTCTGTGGTCTCTCTCTCTCTGGTCTCTCTCTCTGGTCTCTCTCTCTGGTCTCTCTCTCTCTGGTCTCTCTCTGTGGTCTCTCTCTCTCTGGTCTCTCTCTGGTCTCTCTCTCTCTGGTCTCTCTCTCTCTCTCTCTCTCTGGTCTCTCTCTCTCTCTCTCTGGTCTCTCTCTCTCTCTCTGGTCTCTCTCTCTCTCTCTCTGGTCTCTCTCTCTGGTCTCTCTCTCTCTCTGGTCTCTCTCTCTGGTCTCTCTCTCTCTGGTCTCTCTCTCTGGTCTCTCTCTCTGGTCTCTCTCTCTGGTCTCTCTCTCTCTGGTCTCTCTCTCTGTGGTCTCTCTCTCTCTCTCTCTGGTCCTCTCTCTCTCTCTCTGGTCTCTCTCTCTCTGGTCTCTCTCTCTCTCTCTGGTCTCTCTCTCTCTCTCTCTGGTCTCTCTCTCTCTCTCTCTGGTCTCTGTGTCTCTCTCTCTCTCTCTGGTCTCTCTCTCTCTCTCTGGTCTCTCTCTCTCTCTCTGGTCTCTCTCTCTCTCTCTGGTCTCTCTCTCTCTCTCTGGTCTCTCTCTCTCTCTCTGGTCTCTCTCTCTCTCTGGTCTCTCTCTCTCTCTCTCTCTCTGGTCTCTCTCTCTCTCTCTCTGGTCTCTCTCTCTCTCTCTGGTCTCTCTCTCTCTCTCTGGTCTCTCTCTCTCTCTCTCTGGTCTCTCTCTCTCTCTCTCTCTCTCTGGTCTCTCTCTCTCTCTGGTCTCAGTCCGGGAGGTCGATGCAGAGTTTGGGTGGGGGGACACAGAACTTTCCGGGGCTTTGGGTGATGACGACGCCGCTCTTCTTGTGGAACATGGGGGCGATCTTAGGGCCAGGGTCTCTCCCTCTGCTGCCGGGGTCTCTCCCTCTACCGGGGTCTCTCCCCTGAGGGAGGTCCTCAGGCACCTCGGGGTCGTGGCTCCTCTGGAGGTCGTACGACACGTTCCCGTACTCACGCAGGAAGGGGAGGAGCTCCAACAGGAAGTGGCAGAAGTCCTTCCTGATGCCAAACCACCCTGTGAAAGAGAGGGGGAGGGAGGGAGAGAGACAGAAGAAGAGGGGGGAGGAGAGGAGGAGGAGAGACAGACAGAGGAGGAAGAGAGAGACAGAGATGAAGAGGGGGGAGGAGAGAGAAGTTTCAGATTGAGGTGATGTTCCTGTCTGTTCCCGTACTCCCTCACTCAGTGGTTGCCTCCCCCTCCCTCACTCACTCAGTGGTTGCCTCCCCCTCCCTCACTCAGTGGTTGCCTCCCCCTCCCTCCCTCACTCCCAGTGGTTGCCTCCCCCCCCCCTCACTCACAGTGGTTGCCTCCCCCTCCCTCACTCACAGTGGTTGCCTCCCCCTCCCTCACTCACAGTGGTTGCCTCCCCCTCCCTCCCTCCCTCTCTCCCTCACTCACTCAGTGGTTGCCTCCCCCTCCCTCCCTCACTCACAGTGGTTGCCTCCCCCTCCCTCCCTCACTCAGTGGTTGCCCCGCCCTCCCTCACTCACAGTGGTTGCCTCCCCCTCCCTCCCTCCCAGTGGTTGCCTCCCCCTCCCTCACTCACAGTGGTTGCCTCTCCCTCACTCACTCACTCACAGTGGTTGCCTCCCCCTCCCTCACTCACAGTAGTTGCCTCCCCCTCCCTCACTCACAGTGGTTGCCTCCCCCTCCCTCACTCACAGTGGTTGCCTCCCCCTCCCTCCCTCACAGTGGTTGCCTCCCCCTCCCTCCCTCACAGTGGTTGCCTCCCCCTCCCTCACTCACAGTGGTTGCCTCTCCCTCACTCACTCCCAGTGGTTGCCTCCCCCTCCCTCACTCACAGTGGTTGCCTCTCCCTCACTCACTCACTCACAGTGGTTGCCTCCCCCTCCCTCCCTCCCAGTGGTTGCCTCCCCCTCCCTCACTCACAGTGGTTGCCTCTCCCTCACTCACTCACTCACAGTGGTTGCCTCCCCCCTCCCTCACTCACAGTAGTTGCCTCCCCCTCCCTCACTCAGTGGTTGCCTCCCCCTCCCTCACTCACAGTGGTTGCCTCCCCCTCCCTCACTCACAGTAGTTGCCTCCCCCTCCCTCACTCACAGTGGTTGCCTCCCCCTCCCTCACTCACAGTGGTTGCCTCCCCCTCCCTCACTCACAGTGGTTGCCTCCCCCTCCCTCACTCACAGTGGTTGCCTCCCCCTCCCTCACTCACAGTGGTTGCCTCCCCCTCCCTCCCTCACAGTGGTTGCCTCCCCCTCCCTCCCTCACAGTGGTTGCCTCCCCCTCCCTCTCCCTCCCTCACTCACTCACAGTGGTTGCCTCCCCCTCCCTCACTCACAGTGGTTGTCTCCCCCTCCCTCTCCCTCCCTCACTCACTCACAGTGGTTGCCTCCCCCTCCCTCACTCACTCACAGTGGTTGCCTCCCCCTCCCTCACTCCCAGTGGTTGCCTCCCCCTCCCTCACTCACAGTGGTTGCCTCCCCCTCCCTCCCTCCCAGTGGTTGCCTCCCCCTCCCTCACTCACAGTGGTTGCCTCCCCCTCCCTCACTCACAGTGGTTGCCTCCCCCTCCCTCACTCACAGTGGTTGCCTCCCCCTCCCTCCCTCACTCACTCAGTGGTTGCCTCCCCCTCCCTCACTCACAGTGGTTGCCTCCCCCTCCCTCACTCACAGTGGTTGCCTCCCCCTCCCTCACTCACTCACAGTGGTTGCCTCCCCCTCCCTCACTCACTCAGTGGTTGCCTCCCCCTCCCTCACTCACAGTGGTTGCCTCCCCCTCCCTCCCCCTCCCTCACTCACAGTGGTTGCCTCCCCCTCCCTCACTCACAGTGGTTGCCCCCCCCTCCCTCACTCACAGTGGTTGCCTCCCCCTCCCTCACTCACAGTGGTTGCCTCCCCCTCCCTCACTCACAGTGGTTGCCTCCCCCTCCCTCACTCACAGTGGTTGCCTCCCCCTCCCTCACTCACAGTGGTTGCCTCCCCCTCCCTCACTCACAGTGGTTGCCTCCCCCTCCCTCACTCACAGTGGTTGCCTCCCCCTCCCTCACTCACAGTGGTTGCCTCCCCCTCCCTCACTCACAGTGGTTGCCTCCCCCTCCCTCACTCAGTGGTTGCCTCCCCCTCCCTCACTCACAGTGGTTGCCCCCCCCTCCCTCACTCAGTGGTTGCCCCCCCCTCCCTCAGTGGTTGCCTCCCCCTCCCTCACTCACAGTGGTTGCCCCCCCCTCCCTCACTCAGTGGTTGCCTCCCCCTCCCTCACTCACAGTGGTTGCCTCCCCCTCCCTCACTCACAGTGGTTGCCTCCCCCTCCCTCACTCACAGTGGTTGCCTCCCCCTCCCTCACTCACAGTGGTTGCCTCCCCCTCCCTCACTCACAGTGGTTGCCCCCCCCTCCCTCACTCACAGTGGTTGCCCCCCCCTCCCTCACTCCCAGTGGTTGCCTCCCCCTCCCTCACTCAGTGGTTGCCTCCCCCCTCCCTCACTCACAGTGGTTGCCCCCCCCTCCCTCACTCACAGTGGTTGCCTCCCCCTCCCTCACTCACAGTGGTTGCCTCCCCCTCCCTCACTCACAGTGGTTGCCTCCCCCTCCCTCACTCACAGTGGTTTCCTCCCCCTCCCTCACTCACAGTGGTTGCCTCCCCCTCCCTCACTCACAGTGGTTGCCCCCCCCTCCCTCACTCAGTGGTTGCCCCCCCCTCCCTCACTCACAGTGGTTGCCCCCCCCTCCCTCACTCACAGTGGTTGCCTCCCCCCTCCCTCACTCACAGTGGTTGCCTCCCCCTCCCTCACTCACAGTGGTTGCCTCCCCCTCCCTCACTCACAGTGGTTGCCTCCCCCTCCCTCCCCCTCCCTCACTCACAGTGGTTGCCTCCCCCTCCCTCACTCACAGTGGTTGCCCCCCCCTCCCTCACTCACAGTGGTTGCCCCCCCCCTCCCTCACTCACAGTGGTTGCCCCCCCCTCCCTCACTCACAGTGGTTGCCTCCCCCTCCCTCACTCACAGTGGTTGCCTCCCTCACTCAAAGTGGTTGCCTCCCCCTCCCTCACTCACAGTGGTTGCCTCCCCCTCCCTCACTCACAGTGGTTGCCCCCCCCTCCCTCACTCCCAGTGGTTGCCTCCCCCTCCCTCACTCAGTGGTTGCCTCCCCCTCCCTCACTCCCAGTGGTTGCCTCCCCCTCCCTCACTCACAGTGGTTGCCTCCCCCTCCCTCACTCAGTGGTTGCCTCCCCCTCCCTCACTCACAGTGGTTGCCTCCCCTCCCTCACTCACAGTGGTTGCCTCCCCTCCCTCACTCACAGTGGTTGCCTCCCCTCCCTCACTCACAGTGGTTGCCTCCCTCACTCACAGTGGTTGCCTCCCCCTCCCTCACTCACAGTGGTTGCCCCCCCCTCCCTCACTCACAGTGGTTGCCTCCCCCTCCCTCACTCACAGTGGTTGCCCCCCCCTCCCTCACTCACAGTGGTTGCCCCCCCCTCCCTCACTCACAGTGGTTGCCCCCCCCTCCCTCACTCACAGTGGTTGCCCCCCCCTCCCTCACTCACAGTGGTTGCCTCCCCCTCCCTCACTCACAGTGGTTGCCTCCCCCTCCCTCCCTCACTCACAGTGGTTGCCTCCCCCTCCCTCACTCACAGTGGTTGCCTCCCCCTCCCTCCCCCTCCCTCACTCACAGTGGTTGCCTCCCCCTCCCTCACTCACAGTGGTTGCCTCCCCCTCCCTCACTCACAGTGGTTGCCTCCCCCTCCCTCCCCCTCCCTCACTCACAGTGGTTGCCTCCCCCTCCCTCACTCACAGTGGTTGCCTCCCTCCCCCTCCCTCACTCACAGTGGTTGCCTCCCTTCTGTCCAAAGGTGGTGGCCATGAGGGTGAGCAGGGACAGCCACAGAGGGACAAAGACACAGACGTAACTCAGACTGTTGTGACCGTCCAGTTTGTGAACCAGCAGGATCTGAGGACACAGAGACAGTTTGTTATACAGGCAGCATTCAGTGGGTCCACGGTCTCAGTCCTGGGTCTACAGCCTCGGTCCTGGGTCCACAGCCTCGGTCCTGGGTCTACAGTCTCGGTCCTGGGTCCACGGTCTCAGTCCTGGGTCTACTGTCTCGGTCCTGGGTCTACAGCCTCGGTCCTGGGTCTACAGCCTGGGTCCTGGGTCCACAGCCTCGGTCCTGGGTCCACAGCCTCGGTCCTGGGTCCACAGTCTCGGTCCTGGGTCCACGGTCTCAGTCCTGGGTCCACAGCCTCAGTCCTGGGTCTACAGCCTCGGTCCTGGGTCTACAGCCTCGGTCCTGGGTCTACAGCCTCGGTCCTGGGTCTACAGCCTCGGTCCTGGGTCCACAGCCTCGGTCCTGGGTCCACAGTCTCGGTCCTGGGTCCACGGTCTCAGTCCTGGGTCCACAGCCTCGGTCCTGGCTGTGGACCCAGCCTGTTTGCTGGTTCAAGGGTTTGTCTGTGAAAGATAAAAACAAACTGCAAAACATTATCAAAATCTGCTCTAAAATTATTGGTGTTAAACAAAGAGACCTACAGTCTCTTTGGGAAGAGCAGGCGCTAAAGAAAGCTAAATGTATCTTGGGTCAGCCTCTCCATGCTCTGTCCTCTGAGTTTTTGCTCATGCCTTCTGGACGTCCTTTTTATGTACCCTCTCGGAAAACAAATCGTTTCGCCAACTCTTTTGTCCCCTCTGTCACTAAACTGTTGAATTCTGAAGGGAGTGTGTTTATTAAGTGACACCGACCTTTGTGAAATGTGTCGTTTTCTTTTAATTATTTGCTATTGTCTGTACTGTTGGAAGTGACACACAGTGAGTGTTGTGATGTGTTTGTACAACATCTGTCGGAGGTTGCAGCAAATCAATTGCCCTTAAGGGATCAATAGTTTTCTGAATCTGAGTCCTGGTCCTGGGTCCACAGCCTCGGTCCTGGGTCTACAGCCTCGGTCCTGGTCCTGGGTCTACAGCCTCCGAACCTCAAAGGTGAGCAGTGGAACCACGATAGTCATCCAGCTGATCGCCATGGTGATGTGGGTGCGGCGCTGCTCGGCGATGATGTCGATGGAGCGGAGGAACAGCACGGACCAGATGATGTAGTACAGAACCACCAGGCACAGGAAGGACATGAGGATCCACAGGGGGACACAGACCACCTGAGGGGGGAGGGGGGGATATTTATCTGGATTCATGTGGACCATGTGTGTTCATGACCAGCAGTTACTTCCATCCGTCCCACGGTCACAGGGGAAACCGGAGCACCTGGAGGAAACCTACGCAGACTCCACACAGGTCTGAACAATGAGACCATGGTTAATATGGGCTGACTGTGGAAAAGACCATGGTTACAACGGTTACCAGGACTAGGAGGTCCTGCTGCTCTGACCTGCTGCGGCCCCTCCTGCTGCTCTGACCTGCTGCGGCCCCTCCTGCTGCTCTGACCTGCTGCGGCCCCTCCTCCTGCGGCCCCTCCTGCTGCTCTGACTTGCTGCGGCCCCTCCTGCTGCTCTGACCTGCTGCGGCCCCTCCTGCTGCTCTGACTTGCTGCGGCCCCTCCTGCTGCTCTGACCTGCTGTGGCCCCTCCTGCTGCTCTGACCTGCTGTGGCCCCTCCTGCTGCTCTGACCTGCTGCGGCCCCTCCTGCTGCTCTGACCTGCTGTGGCCCCTCCTGTGTTGCCCTTCTACTCTGTCTTCTCCTGTGGTGAGTTATTCAAACTAGGAACAACACTTTGGCAGAGTCAGCTGCTCTTTCACAGTGACAGAGCAGTGGTCCATGCACTGGGGCCTCTGTGCTCCTGACTACAACAACACATCTGTGAGAGGAAACACCAGGCTTGTTCTAATCTACTCCATCTAAAAGGTACAGCGGGGCAAGAAAGTATTTAGTCAGCCACCGATTGTGCAAGTTCTCCCACTTAAAATAAAGACAGAGGTCTTAAGAAGCTCTTCTGTCCTCCACTTGTTACCTGTGTTAATGGCACCTGTTTGAACTCATCTGTATAAAAGAAAGCCCAAATGTAGCCCACAACGATATTTCAACCACTGATAATCTCCCTCCACGCAAGATCTCATCCCGTGGGGTCAAAATGATCATGAGAACGGTGATCAAAGATCCCAGAACCACACGGGGGGACCTGGTGAATGACCTGCAGAGAGCTGGGACCAAAGTAACAAAGGTTACCATCAGTAACACACTACGACGACAGGGAATCAAACCCTGCAGTGCCAGACGTGTCCCCCTGCTGAAGCCAGTGCATGTCCAGGCCCGTCTGAAGTTTGCCAGAGAGCACATGGATGATACAGCAGAGGATTGGGAGAATGTCATGTGGTCAGATGAAACCAAAGTACAACTGTTTGGTATAAACTCAACTCGTCGTGTTTGGAGGAAGAAGAACACCATACCTACTGTTAAGCATGGGGGTGGAAACGTCATGCTTTGGGGCTGTTTTTCTGCTAAGGGGACAGGACGACCAGACCTCAACCAATGTGTAGGTCTCCACATCTGTGGAGGGAGTTGAAAGTCTGTGTTCACTGCTCTCGAGAAGATCTGCATGGAGGAATGGGCCAAAATACCAGCTACTGTGTGTGCAAACCTGGTAAAGACCTATAGTAACCGTTTGACCTGTTATTGCCAACAAAGGTTATACTACAAAGTATTGAGTTATGGACCAAATACTTATTTTCCACCATCATTTACAAATAAATTCTTTAAAAATCCTACAATGTGAATTCCTGGATGTTTTTTCACATTCTGTCTCTCACAGTTGAAGTGAACCTATGATGAACATTACAGACTTCTGTCATTATTTTAAGTGGGAGAACTTGGACAATCGGAGGCTGACTAAATACTTTTTTGCCCCACTGTACATGTCCAACAGAGAGCAGAGCACCATGTGAGAGGCTGTGATGTCACACACTCACCAGCTGTGATGTCACACACTCACCAGCTGTGATGTCACATGACACCAGCTGTGATGTCACACACTCACCAGCTGTGATGTCACATGACACCAGCTGTGATGTCACACACTCACCAGCTGTGATGTCACATGACACCAGCTGTGATGTCACACTCACCAGCTGTGATGTCACATGACACCAGCTGTGATGTCACACTCACCAGCTGTGATGTCACATGACACCAGCTGTGATGTCACACTCACCAGCTGTGATGTCACACTCACCAGCTGTGATGTCACACACTCACCAGCTGTGATGTCACACACTCACCAGCTGTGATGTCACACTCACCAGCTGTGATGTCACACTCACCAGCCAGGGCCAGTTGATGATTCTGTCCAGTCTCAGAGCGATGAAGATGAACTGAAGGATGTTCACGGAGCAGAGGACCTCCAGCTGCAAACACACATCTGTGAGACCAGACCAGAGACTAGACCAGAGACCAGACCAGAGACCAGAGACTAGACCAGAGACCAGAGACTAGACCAGAGACCAGAGACTAGACCAGACCAGAGACCAGAGACTAGACCAGAGACCAGACCAGAGACTAGACCAGAGACCAGACCAGAGACCAGAGACCAGAGACCAGAGACCAGAGACCAGAGACTAGACCAGAGACCAGAGACCAGACCGGAGACCAGAGACTAGACCAGAGACTAGACCAGAGACTAGACCAGAGAGAGACCAGAGAGAGACCAGAGACTAGAGAGGGACCAGAGAGGGACCGGAAAGGGACCAGAGAGGGACCAGAGACTAGAGAGAGACCAGAGAGAGAGACCATGTGTGTGGTAGTGAGCAGTGCGGCCTCACCTCCAGGGAGCGGTCGTGCCTGAAGCCCCAGACACACGCCGCCACAGACACCGGCGACACGAAGAACAGCGGCATAAACACCAACAACCAGAAGTACGACCCTCGAGCCACACGGTCACACACCAGCACCTCAAACACCAGCAGCAGCACGTGCAGACCCAGGGCTATCAGCATGGCCTTAAACTCCACACACGTCTCCCCCTCTGCCCTGGGGGAGAGAGGGAGGGAGGGAGAGGGGGGTTAGAGAGGGAGGTCAGAGAGGGAGGTCAGAGAGGGAGGTCAGAGAGGGAGGCCAGAGAGGGAGGCCAGAGAGGGAGGTCAGAGAGGGAGGTCAGAGAGGGAGGCCAGAGAGGGAGGCCAGAGAGGGAGGCCAGAGAGGGACAGAGAGGGAGGTCAGAGAGGGAGGGAGGGAGAGGGGGGTTAGAGAGGGGGGTTAGAGAGGGAGGCCAGAGAGGGAGGTCAGAGAGGGAGGTCAGAGAGGGAGGGAGGGGGAGGTCGGAGAGGGAGGCCAGAGAGGGAGGCCAGAGAGGGAGGTCAGAGAGGGAGGCCAGAGAGGGAGGCCAGAGAGGGAGGGAGGGGGAGGTCGGAGAGGGAGGTCGGAGAGGGAGGTCAGAGAGGGAGGTCAGAGAGGGAGGTCAGAGAGGGGGGTTAGAGAGGGAGGTCAGAGAGGGAGGTCAGAGAGGGAGGTCAGAGAGGGAGGTCAGAGAGGGAGGCCAGAGAGGGAGGCCAGAGAGGGAGGCCAGAGAGGGAGGTCAGAGAGGGAGGTCAGAGAGGGAGGTCAGGGAGGGAGGTCAGAGAGGGAGGGAGGGGGAGGTCAGAGAGGGAGGTCAGAGAGGGAGGCCAGAGAGGGAGGCCAGAGAGGGAGGTCAGAGAGGGAGGCCAGAGAGGGAGGCCAGAGAGGGAGGCCAGAGAGGAGGCCAGAGAGGGAGGTCAGAGAGGGAGGTCAGAGAGGGAGGTTAGAGAGGGAGGGAGGGGGAGGTCAGAGAGGGAGGTCAGAGAGGGAGGTTAGAGAGGGAGGGAGGGGGAGGTCAGAGAGGGAGGTCAGAGAGGGAGGCCAGAGAGGGAGGCCAGAGAGGGAGGTCAGAGAGGGAGGTCAGAGAGGGAGGTCAGGGAGGGAGGTCAGGGAGGGAGGTCAGAGAGGGAGGTCAGAGAGGGAGGAAAGAGAGAGACCACAGAGAGACCAGAGAGAGACCAGAGAGAGACCAGAGAGAGACCAGAGAGAGAGACCACAGAGAGACCAGAGAGAGACCAGAGAGAGACCAGAGAGAGACCAGAGAGAGACCAGAGAGGGACCAGAGAGGGACCAGAGAGAGAGACCAGAGAGAGAGACCAGAGAGAGAGACCAGAGAGAGAGACCAGAGAGAGACCAGAGGGAGACCAGAGGGAGACCAGAGAGGGACCAGAGAGGGACCAGAGAGAGAGACCAGAGAGAGAGACCAGAGAGAGACCAGAGAGAGACCAGAGAGAGACCAGAGGGAGACCAGAGAGAGACCAGAGAGAGAGACCAGAGAGAGACCAGAGAGAGACCAGAGAGAGACCAGAGAGGGACCAGAGAGGGACCAGAGAGAGAGACCAGAGAGAGAGACCAGAGGGAGACCAGAGGGAGACCAGAGGGAGACCAGAGAGAGAGACCAGAGAGAGAGACCAGAGAGAGACCAGAGAGAGACCAGAGAGAGACCAGAGAGGGACCAGAGAGAGACCAGAGAGGGACCAGAGAGAGAGACCAGAGAGAGACCAGTTCCATTATAAATAAATTGTTTAAATGAAGTAAGTAAGTAAGTAGTAAGTAAGCTTTTATTTATATACCGCCTTTTCACTGCACATCGGAGTCTCAAAGCGGTTTACAATTGTTGGGTGGGGGTGCCAGTACAGGAGGCACATGCCATACCTATTGTACATATTTTTAGTGGTAGGGGAAACCGGAGCACCCGGAGGAAACCTACGCAGACACAGGGAGAACATGCAAACTCCACTCAGAAAGGCCCTGGTCCGGCCGGGATTCGAACCCAGGACCTTCTTGCTTAGAGGCGAGAGTGCTATCCACTCAGCCACCGTGCCGCCGGTGAAGCACATTAGTTGTAAGTGTGGACTTCAGACTAAACCCTTTCAGTATTTGTTTCACTGAGATCCTTTTGGTTCTTTCTTTTTCATGTTGTAGAATGTATATGTGATCTCTGACCCCTGAGAACTACTGCTACTGCTACTGCTGCTGCTGCTGCTGCTACTGCTGATACCGCTGCTGCTGCTGCTGCTACTGCTGATACTGCTGCTGCTGCTGCTACTGCTACTGCTGCTACTGCTGCTGCTGCTGCTACTGCTGCTGCTGCTACTGCTGATACCGCTGCTGCTGCTGCTGCTACTGCTGATACTGCTGCTGCTGCTGCTACTGCTACTGCTGCTACTGCTGCTGCTGCTGCTACTGCTGCTGCTGCTACTGCTGATACTGCTGCTGCTGCTGCTGCTGCTGCTGCTGCTGCTGCTACTGCTGCTGCTGCTACTGCTGCTGCTGCTGCTGCTGCTGCTGCTGCTGCTGCTACTGCTGCTGCTGCTACTGCTGATACTGCTGCTGCTGCTGCTGATACTGCTGCTGCTGCTACTGCTGATACTGCTGCTGCTGCTGCTGCTGCTGCTACTGCTGCTGCTGCTGCTGCTGCTGCTGCTGCTGCTGCTTCTGCTGCTGCTACTGCTGCTTCTGCTGCTGCTGCTGCTGCTGCTGCTGCTGCTGCTGCTACTGCTGCTGCTGCTACTGCTGCTACTGCTGCTGCTGCTGCTACTGCTGCTGCTGCTGCTGCTACTGCTGCTGCTGCTGCTGCTGCTGCTGCTACTGCTGCTGCTGCTACTGCTGCTACTGCTGCTGCTGCTGCTACTGCTGCTGCTGCTACTGCTGCTGCTGCTGCTGCTGCTGCTACTGCTGATACTGCTGCTGCTGCTACTGCTGATACTGCTGCTGCTGCTGCTGCTGCTACTGCTGCTGCTGCTACTGCTGCTGCTGCTGCTGCTGCTGCTACTGCTGCTGCTGCTGCTGCTACTGCTGCTGCTGCTGCTACTGCTGCTGCTGCTGATACTGCTGCTGCTGCTACTGCTGATACTGCTGCTGCTGCTGCTGCTGCTGCTACTGCTGCTGCTGCTGCTGCTGCTGCTGCTACTGCTGCTGCTGCTACTGCTGCTACTGCTGATACTGCTGCTGCTGCT